GCAGGTTGGCGCAGGAGGGAGGACGCAGCGGGCACCTCCGTGCGAGTCTGAAATTAAGGAGCTGGGAGGTTGACGTCTGCAATGATCATTTTTTTCCCCCCATAAATGAGAAGATTAAAAGGGAGTTCTCCAAATCTAATGCTTTTATATTTTTTTTTTCCAGCTGTGCTTCTGGCCCCCCATCTCCTCAAACAGCTGTGAGACAGACGGACACGGGGCACGCGGCGCAGGGAAGCGCTGCTAATTTTAGTGGAAGGTCCCAGGAGAGGGACGGAGCCCTGGGCCAGGCAGAGGATGGAAAGTCACAGCGCTCGCTCGGGGCCCTGCACGACCTTGCTATTTCGGGGCTGACCACATCCCACCTTGCCCGAGCCCACAGGCACGGAGCAGCCCCAGGCCCTCCCGCTGCTCCCCTGCTGCTGCCAAGCCCTGGCCAAGGCGGGTGGTGGTTCTCCAAGGGAAGTAAACATGTTTCCAGGGCTGAACTGCGATCCCCAGAGCTCCTCACACAGGAGAAATGACCGAGGAGGTATTTTCTGCACATGCCCTCAGACGCAGCACAGAGCACCCTGCTGTGTTTTCATCCAGCTTTGGGGGTTGTGTCCTCTCTGGTTTCCTTTACTTTCCGATCAGTGAAATCCTGAGGAATAACTCCACACAGATGAAGGAAATGGTTTCTCCAGCAACTGGTCCTTGCAAGGGGCAGAATATTTCTGCATGGCCATAAAGGTCCGAATTGCTCACGATAGGGAGGTTTTAAGGGAGCTGAGCTCCTCGGGGTGGGCAGGGGAGTTCACAGGGCTCGGAAGCGCTCTTGCAGACAATGTGGAGGGAGCCAGCAAGCAGAGGGGATGCAGAGGTTGGCACTTTTGCTGTTGGTTTTGGCCTGGGGAGGCTGCGAGCCCCTGCTCCATGGCCACGGTGATGGGGCAGGGCTGGCGGTGCTCCTGCTGCTGCTCCTCCTTGCTGCCTCGCTGTGTGTGCCGTGCCCAGCTCAGCCACAGCTTCTGTGTCCAAATCCCAGGAGCAATCAGGGGCTAAAAGCCCGGAGAGACTGCTACCACCCTGTCCTGCTCCAAGCATTTCCTACTGTCTCCCCTTCATCGTCTTTGCCTACTCCTGAGCCGACCTGTGCCTGGCTTTTTTCCTCTGTACGGGACCATCCCAAATGCGTTCTGCCAAAACCAACCCCGTTTTGTCTCCTGACACCCTGTTTTTGGAGCTCCCTGCACCTGGCTCCTGCCTCGTTCTCCTGGGATGCCTCAAGCCGGGGCTTGTTCAGCAGCAAGCTCCACTCAAGCAGAAAGAAATGTCAGAGCAAAAGTCAGAAAACTGCAGCAAGGAGGGTTAATGGAAGGACAATAACGTCTCGTTCCTCAGCCTCCACGGGGAACTGTTAAACTTTATGGACTTTCATTTAACAAGCAGCCCAGCCTCCCCTTCTTCAGCGTGCCTTGCCCTCCCCAAAACTATTTTTCCCTGTTCCTCTTTGCCTCCCGCAGTGCACAAGCCCGGAGCAAAACTGGCCATCACTTCAAGCCTGTGCTCTCAAACGAGAACCCAGATTTTCCAAGACATCCTCTCACTCATGACCCAAAAAAAAGTAGAAGCAGCTGGACCCGGAGACCCTCCTGCCTGAACCTTGTCCTTTGCCTTTCTGGTCTTTTCCTTGCTGGGGGTTATTGCCACTGCTTCCCTGGCACTTGGATGTCCTGGGGCAGGGAAGGTTTCACCTGGGCACTGCCCCCAGAACAGCCTCTAAGGGAGCCAGGCCGTGTTTATCCTTGTGAAGAAGCTGCCACTGCAACCCAGGAGCTTCCCTCTGTGTGTCCCAGGGGCTCCAAGGTGGATTCCTGTTTATTTCCTCAAGTAGCTCTATTCATAGGCTTCAAACGCTGCCAAGCCGCATCTGTCAGGACCGAGAGGGCTCAAAAGGGCATCTTAGGTAAACACCAGAGCCAAGCTGGGAGTGCCCAGCTCTAGCAGTGCTTGCTGCCCTTCTCCCCCAGGTGCCTTAGTGCATTCTCTGCACGTCTCCATCGCAAGGTCCCGAGCAAAGGAGAAGCTGGGCTGAGACACCAGCCCGTAATTCGGGCACAGAGCAGGAAGAAATGCACAGCAGCCCCCTGCTTCAAGGGAGAAGTCCTTCCAGGGAAGGCAAGGAGGCCCTTTGGATATTGGGGATCTTGGCCATTCCCTGTGCTCAGTGCAGGGGCACGCTGAGCACGGTGGGGGACAGCTCTCCCTTGGCACGGGAAGATTTTGCACCAGAGGCTCTGGCTATGAGCCTGCAGGCAGCACGGAAAGATCGAGGTGTCCCACGGCGTCCCAGCTCCCAGGCTGTGACTCACTGCAGAGCCACGCACAGCTGGGCTTCTCCCCCTGCCTGCAGGCCTCTCCTGACAGCTGATAATCCACAGTGCCACGCACCCCTCCTTCTCCGTCTGCCTCCAACAGAGCCAGAGCCCCGCTCCCCCGCACCGCCCCTCCGTGGAGCTCGGGCTCTCTGGGCACTGGGAGAGACCCCGGTGGGTGCTGCCTGCTGGGCCAGGTGTCGGTGCTGTCCCTGAGCCCACAGGGACAGTCCCAGCCCAGCAGGGAGCCGGCCACCTCGCCACCTTCCCTGGGCAGCTCAGCTTCGCCCTGCCTGGCTTCCAGCCCTGGCTTTGCAGCCACACGCCAGCTTAGTGCACATCCAGACAGCACGCTCTTTCTCCCCCTGATCTCCTCCTGGAAATAAAGAACAGGAGCCCTCCTGCGGGACCTGCTGACATGCCTCTGCCTTTTCTTTTTCGCCCACCCCGCTTCCCTTTCTCCGAGCTGGCTGCTGGTCCCCGGCCGTGTCCCCTCCCCGTGCCGCCGCGGTGTGCCAGGAGCTCGGCCGCACACCCCTCAATGACCACTCAGTAAATGACATTCCCGCAGCGCTTCCAGGGCATCCTGTTTATTTATGTGCACTTTGGGTTCATTGTTTTGCTGTAGGGTTCATCGGCAATTAATGCAGGAACATCCTCCTCTCCAAAAACACTCCCGAGAAGATCCCTCCCGGGGCAGAGCGAAGGAAAGGCTCCTTGCAGCGACTGATTGTGTGGGAGACAGCAGGGCTATTATTCCCTGCTTGTATCACCTCCACATTTCTCTCCTTCCCTTAGAGCAAAATTATTCCCCTTTTGGGGAGCCCCAGGGTTTTCTTCAGCGTGTGAGCCCAGGTCTGCCCAGCTGGGCTTACAGCAGGATGAAGTTGGATTTTGCACCGGGGTTAGCTCGAGTTCAAACCTCAGCCTTGCAAACCTCTTGGCCTCGCTGCAAACTGAGCTCAAGCCCTGGGGGTCTGGCCCTGTTTGCTGCCTCCAAAGGCAGATTTTGGGTGGCCACCTGAGCGGGCAGTGAGTGGCAGGGATCTGGGCACAGCAGTGCCTGATGCACCCGAGCTGGACCGAGATGTGGGCGCATGCTGCAAAGCCCTGGCAGTGCTGCAAGGGGTCCCAGGGCTGACGAGACCCCCCTGGACCATCGCCTGCCCAGTTCCTGAGCTTCAGAGGGCAAAAGATGCCCCTCTAGCATGTGTGAGGTCTGTGTTTTCCCCTGGCACACTGACATCCAAATCTCTCTTTGACAGCCCTGCTAAGCCTTGTGAGCATGGAGAGGGCTCTCCAGGACTCTTTTATTGTGAGCTCTCCGTCATTTCTGGAGCTGCCTAAAGCCTCTGAGACTGACGAGCAGGCCAGGCGCTGCAGCCCTTGCTTCCCCCTCCCCACACTCCCCCTCCAGCCCTCGGTGACACCGCAGAGCCTGCCAGCAGCCTGTCCCCATGCAGGATCTGCCCCCGGGTGCGATGTGTCTGGGGGCCCCTTCCCCACCCAGGGACCCCCGGTGGGCAGGGGGACACCAGGACCCCCCCACACCAGCACTGGGGCATCTCCAGATGTGGCTGCACCCCTGCAGCAGGCTGCTTGACGCTCTCACCCAAAAGCAGGCTTTAAGCCGCCACGTATGTAAAGAAATCCCTGTTGTAATTATCCTCCTGGCACTGCCGTTTGTCTGAGCCATTAGGAGAGGGCTTAGCTTCGGGCTGCAGCTCCGCGCACTGAGCAATTGCCACGTTGTCAGTTAGAAAAGACGTGGTTTCTTTTCTCTCTTTTTTTTTTTTTTCTTTTCCCTCCCTTAAAATTTTTTCCAGATGTCTCTCTTTTTTTTTTTTTTTCCCCTCTTCACAGAAACAGCTGCACAATCTCAATGCGAGCCGTGACTAATCCAGCGCAGGGAGCATGCGCCTCCCCGGGGTGTGGATCCAGCACATGGAACTGGGGCTGTGGGGGGGATGTGTGGCCTCTGGAGCCGAACAGCACCTAGGAAAGGGGCTCTGGGCTACGCAGGGGAGCTGTGGACACTCAGAGGAGATGCTCCAGATGCTACGAGTGGTTGTCGGCACGTGGACACGAGGTGTTCGGCAGCATCGCCACGCTGTCCTCAGCACGCACCGAGATGGTCGTACTGGGACCTTTTGGAGTGGCTCTGTGGGGACAGCAACATCCACATAGCACTCGGGGAAGGTTTTTGGATGGTGTGCAGCCAAATAAAGCAGGCTTCTCGTGTCCTTCCCCGCCGGCTTCCTGGGCAGCCCGACTGCAGATATCCGCTGCCTCTCTGGGAAGTGGCGATGGTGACACGGCCCCTCCACTCTCTCTTTCTTTCCCCTCCCCTTTCCCTTTTGCTTTTGTTTATTTTTTTGTTTCTCTTTGGCCATAAGGATGTTTATGCTTACATCTGCTTCTTGCACGTGCAGCAGAAGTGCCGTGAGGCCAGAGGTGGGGCGTGCTGAAGAGGTTTTAAGTCATGAAGGCACCCTACAGAGCAAGGAGCCGGCACAGCCTGGCAGGTCCCCTGCTGGCACCCAAATCAGCAGCACCATCGGTGGGAAGAGCCAGGCACCAGCTCTGTGCCTCGGTCCCTCTCAAAGGCAGCGTGTAATCACGAGGAATGGACCCAGGCAGCCAAGACAAAACACGATGTTGCATTTTATTAGGGGTGTCCTTCACCCTGCTGGTGCCCAGACTACTTGTCCCTAAGTCTCTGTCCTTCCAGCTGCCCCTGGAGAGCTCCCGCACCTCCCCTGGCTGTGTGGCATGGTCACAGGGCCACCCCAGCTCACCATGGTGGCAGGTCACCAATCCACCCGGGGGGTCCCCGATTCCAGCAATTTGACAGCCTTGCCTTTTGGCTGCTGCTTTTGATTTTGGGGGCTCGTGCTGAGCACCGTGGGGAGCAGACGGGGGAAGCCACCTCCAGCTGGCTTTGCTGCTTGGCTGCCTCTGGCCGGGCGGCTGCTCCAGCTGGGTTATAGCCTGCAAGGTCAAAATGTGAGGTGCTATCCGTGGGGAGCAGCGGGTTCAACCAGCACATTTCCAGGACACAGGATTTGCTCAGATCTGCTGGATGATAATCACGGCAGAGCGCTGAGGAGCTTTCCTCCAAGCCAAGCTCTTCCCTGCTCACCAGGAGCTATTTCAGACGTCATCCCTCTCCGCACTCTGGAAAACGGGGATCATTCTTTCCTCTCCCTTCCCGCAGGGCAGCCCCAGAGGGCAGCAGCGTTAGGAGAGGGGAGCCAAGTCCCTTCTCCCTTCCTCTGCGTCCTCCTGAGGGTGGAAAACACCAGCTCAGGGAGCAAACCGTAGCAAAATGACAGCATTTAAGGGTTTAACTGCAGCAGGCCGTGGTGCCAGGAGCTGCGCAAACCAAGGAGGGACGTGGTTGTCCTCCCTGCCCTCCGGTGCCAGAGCCAGAGCCCCAAAAATCTCATTGCAGCAGTGCAGGGGAGAGGTCGGGGGGGTCCCAATCCCTGCAGGACCCCTTTGACGGCAGCCCCGCTTGATTCCTCTGGTCTGCCCTCGGCACCAGGGCCGTGTCCCTGCCTGTATTTTGGGCACAGAGCCGGGAGGCGGGTGGGGACAGCCCACCAGGGAGAGAGGCAGAGGAAGAGACTGATTTGGAAAGATAGCGAGGAGGAGGAGGAGGAGGAGGAGGAGGAGAGGCAGCAGGAAACCCAGCCCACCCTTCGCCTTCCTGCTGCCTCCTTCTAAAACCCGCAGATTCCTCCAGCCCTCCCCAGCGCCTGAAGTTTCCTCAGCCCTGCTGCCAGGACTGCGAGGTATGGCCGGAGCCCTTCTCGGTCTCCTTCGTGCTGCTGCAGCTCCTGCTCATGGGGATCCTCGCAGGGACCCCAGCCCTGCAGCCCTCCCACCCCAGCACTGCTCGCCCCGTGCCCCCCACCCCGCTCGGAGCCTTCGGGGACCCTCCCTGCCTCCTTCTCTCGCTCCTCTTTGCAGCTTCCCAGCTCCTAACCTGTTACTCTATTTCACCGCCACATCGCCAGCTTAACGCTTTGGGGTCACCTGGATGTAAAGCTTCAATTTTTCTCCCTTTTCCCTTTTTCCCCTCCGGCTTTTGGGGTTGTTTCCTTAGGGAGATGCGCTAAACCGAGGTCCTGGCGCATCCTGCAGGGCAAACCAGATCTGGTCACAAACCCGTCCCCACCGTGCACAGCCCGGGGTGTGCTGGCAGGTGACGTTTTACTCACCAGAATACCTAGGGGAAGAACAAAAGGGTTGTCAGCTTTATCTCAGCGCAGCCGCTCTCATTTTTCCTGCGAAAAGAGGAAAAAAAAAAAGACACTCGGCTTTTTGTTCCAGGCAGACCGAATCCATTTCAGGTCCCGCTCCCTGGTTTGCTCAACTCCAGCTGATAGCTGGTGGAAACAGAGAGACAGGAGAGGAGGAACAAAGCTCTTTTTTTTGGCTCTTTTTATTTTTTTTTAAGTGCAATAACTTGGGACCAGTCGGACACGGCTCCGGAGCCAGGCAGAGGAGCTGAGGGCTCGCTTCCTTTAAAGGCAGCAGCTGGCCTTGGTGACGTGCAGGCAGCCAAACCCTGCTCTTTGTGTCCCCCCTGGAAGAAATCTCTGCTTTGCTGTCCAGCCGAGGGAAGGAAACCTCGCAGGGAAGGGGGCTCGGCTCCCCCCGAGGCTCCCCTTTCACATCGGAGAGAATTCGGGGGCACCGGGGAGGTCGCCAGCACTCCGGGTGCTCGATCAACGCCACCGTGCAAGAGCCCAAAAATTCTTCTTCCCCACCCCAGGGACAAAAATAAATCACAGCAGCTTGGGAGGGCGGACCAGGGAAGTTTTTAAGTGGAAATAAAAGGCTGTCGCGCCCCGCGCAGCTGTTCAAGCCAGGCTATTGTCTGCCACATAGGCAGGAGCAGGGATGCGGGTGTTGACGGGAGGGGGGGAAGAGCAGAAATAAACTTTTCAAACTTTTTGGCAAGCCCCTCCTTCCCCATTACGGCTTCCATGACTCAGCCCCGCTGGAATGTCGGCTCCCATGGAAACCCTCTCTGGGTCCTCTGCTCGGATGGATGTCGGGGCTGTTATCGCTGGAGCGGCTGTGGCGGGGCGAGCGCTGGGAATGCTTTGAAGATGGTTTGCATTTCTGCAGTGCATTTAGCAGAAGGATTTTTTTTTTTTTGCTCTCCGCTTTGTGGAGCCGTGCCTCGGTGGGAGATCAGCTTTCGGGCTGCCCCGGGAGCCCGAGGGACCCGCTTGCAGCTGGCACACGAGCATCCCAAATCCTTTTGGCAGAGGGAACAAAAGCAGCAGCACAGGCAGGGCAGCAAAATGCGTTATCATTTTCCCTTCTGGCTGCAGTTCTGCAGGGGCTCCCCGTGCTTGCAGCCCGCTCTCATCCATGCACTTCTGGCACTGCTTGAACTGCTTCCCATTCCGGGTGCAGTTTGGAGACTGGGCAAACTGGGAGAGCTTCGAGCCAGCGCCCAGCTCCACCAGTCCGAGGGCTCTCGCCACTTTGTTAGTGAGTTCTGTAAAGACCTGGTGCATGTGTAAGTGCCATCACAGCAGCTCAAGTCGCTCTTTGCCAGGTCTGTGGGCTGACAGGGTGCGGATGTCTCCAGCGGCTGCACGGAAAGATGGGGTGGGCAAAATTTGTCCTGTGTGCATGAGCTGTAGGGAATTTCTCTCCCAGCCAAACCCACTCGGTTCTGTGACCCCAAACACTTGATGTGAGCGCAGGGGGACCCTGTAGGTGGCAGGGACAGCGGTGGTCCCCTGGGACCTCTCACAGGCTGCAGTGCCATGCAGGCAGGGAGCTGCGGGGAGCTTTCTGGGTTCTGGCACACACACCTCATCTTTCAGACCAGATTTCCAAACAAAATCGGTTGGCGAGGTAAAGCTCAGAGGGTCCTGCTTGCACGGCAAGCCCAGGGCTGGGTGGTGGGCTCACAGCCCTCACCTCGTGTCCCTGCGGTGGTCACACTTTGTCACCACCCTGCCAGCGAGGCGTGAGGGTTTTTTTGCCCTTCCATTGCCCGTTCCTGCCCGTGGTGCTGGAGGTAGGGGGCCAGGCAGCAGCAGAGGCTGCTGGGGTTGTCCTGTGCATCGCAGCAGCCTCGGGGAGGAGCTGGCAGAGGGGCCAGGAGAGGCTCCTCCCCACGCTAACGTGGCATCCGTGGGGCTTATGCAACCCTGGCTAGGGCCAGTGCCACATGGGCCACGCTGCTCCCTCCAAGGAGCCTCCTCCAGAGGCTGCGCTGCCCGGCCCTCGCCCGCCTCCACCCACCAAGGCACCCGGGCTGGGCTGGAGGGGACAAAAGAGACCAAAGGGACCCATCGAGAGGGCATTTGGAAGAGCCACTAGACCGTGTTTACACAGCGAGTGGGAGCTGAAGTCCCCACTTAGGATGCAAGTGGGGTCAAGTGTTGGCTGGGCTGCACATCCACTGTCCTGGGGGCAGCCTTTAGGTTCAGAGGGGGCTTCTCTCAATTTTAGCTGGAGTTTGGTTTGGGTACAGCAAGACCTCCCCCTGCGCCCCCCCAAGAAGCCTGTCCAGAGCAGGACTATTGCTCCACAGCCCCTGCAAACAGCTTTGGGCTCATCATGGTGGCAGCTCCCAGGGAGCAGCCCGATCCCTGTGCAAACACCGCTGCCAGGTTATCCTTCGTGTGCCTCCGACATCCCCGTGTGCTTTCTGCCCGGCATGTTCTCTGTGCCCAGGGTGTGCCGGCTTCCAGTGTCTTAGAAAGCCCTGGCTCCTGCTGGTACCCGTTGGCAGGTAGCATCCTCTTGGACGGCAGGACCATGGCAGGGAGGGAGACCCGCAGCAGCCACTTGCTCTGCTGGAGCAACGCTGCTTGCAGGGCTCCTGAGCTGTTAGTTCAGGATTTTTGGCCACCGGACATTCAGGAAAGGCTGTGTCCTTGCAAAGCAGCCAGGGTCTCACAGACAGAGCAATGTCCTCAGTGCACAGCCTCCAGGAGGATGTTGTTTTTCAAATAAACTTATTTTCCCATCTCTGGCATGAGACGGCGCTGCAGGCTTGTTTGCTCAGACTCTTTCGTGCTCCTTCTTCCTCCAAACACAACACCGGCAGCTCCAGCTGTCTGCTGGCTCCTGGCATGGCATTCTCTGAGCCCGGCTCACTGCACGCAGACTTGGAAACTTATGTATTTTGGGGATGGGGGAAATGATCTGAGAGGGCCTTGGTCTGGGGTTGGGCTCTCCTTAATGCCACCTTCCCTGTGCCCATGCCCTGCCCTCTGCTCCCGGCTGGGTTTCTGCCCACCGAGCACCACCGAACCTCAGAACCTCTTCCAAGGCAAACAAGCCCCTTGGGAGAAGCCCAGGAGAAACCTTTACAAGGCCAGGGGATGGCAGGGAAGGAGGAAATGGCCGGATTCAGTACTTTTCCACCTCCCCTCCCTGCCCCCAAATAGCCAGCTCACCAGGAGGGAAGAGCCAGTGATCTGAGCGCAGCTCCTGGCAAACACCAGGAGGCTCGCAGCAGCTGCCAGAGCAGAGAAAGGCGAGGGGATGGGATGGTGTGTACCGACTGGGAGCAAACAGGCTCCGTCCCCCATCCCCACACATCCCACATCCCCCCCAGCAGCCGTCCCCACCAGCCCCAGTGCATCCCAGGGTGAGCTGCGTCTGGGTGATGCTGCGAGGCTGGAAGGAGGATTTCAGCCTGGATGAACATAGCTAAACTAGGTACTAAATACCCCAGCAGGGTGGCATTTGTCACATTTTACACCCAGAGGCCATCCCTCACAGGGAGGATGCAAAAGGATGCTTGGAGCACCTTGCCCAGCACCATCTGTCCCAGAGAAGCCACCAACCCTCCCGTCCCCGTCCCTGCAGGTGGAGAGGAGGAGGACGAGCGGAAGGGAGCAGGGGGAGCCTTGGCAGGAGGACAGAGCTCTGCCGGGGGGAGTTTTGCTCTCCCTGAGGGCGGAAGGGAGCTGGTGCCCCGCTCCCCCGGCTGGCAGGGAAGCCGCTGGCATATTAAGCACCCAGCTGAGCTCCTCGCTGCCCTGGCACAGAAGGGCTCCGTCCTGCCAAACAGGAACCAGGGGGGGGACGCACGCACACGGGGTGGTTTCACCAGCTGCAGCTCTCCTCCTGGCTCGCATCGCAGCCTGGGGTAGCCAGGCTGCTCGCTCGTCCCCGAAACAGCCCCGATCCGGAGGGTGCAAAGTCCTCCCCCTCCTCTTGGAGCTCATCCCCCAGCAGGATACGATCCTCAGGTGCCCTCCGAGCCTGTCTGGGGACCCTCAGCTCTGAGCAGGAAAGGGAAAAGTGTATTAGAAACCCCCACATCTGGGGGTGCCGGAGATGGAAGCCTGCTCCCTGCCACCCCTACAGACGTGTGTCCACGTGGGGTGTGCTTTCTAAGGGATTTAATTCTCAAGCTGACAGCCTCCCTGTCTTTCTGTCCCTCTTTTCCTTTTTCCACTTCCATTTTTCCTCTGAGTGACAAATAAAATGGTGGAGAGATTCATTGCCTGTACCTGGGACTCGTATCAGGGGCTTCTAACATGACTTTTTTTTTTGGCCAAAACTGCTCATGTGAAGGGCAGGGGAACTGCCATTCTGACTGCACTTTTCCTAATAGATCCTGGAAAGCCTCTCACCCCCACCTTCCCATGTTGCAAAATCAAAAGAATTTGCCTTGGAAACAACATTTGGCTTAAGGTTTTGGCTAGAAAAGCCACCATGTGGGGCTGCAGCGTTGACCAGACAAGGCAGGAAACGGAGAAAACCTTCTCTGCGTGTCTGACTGCCACTGTGAGCTCAGCCCGGAGCTGCGTGACCTCCTTCCTCATCCCTCCTCTTCCTCTCCTTTATTCAGGGTTTGCTGAAAGATGAGAGCCTGGATTTTCTTCCTTCTCTGCCTGGCAGGCAAAGCCCTGGCAGCTCCGGTGAGTAGGGGAGCCAGCAGAGCCTCGTGGGGACGTATCCAACACCCGATGGATCTGCTGGGGGTTTTCTTTCCCAATGAATAAAACCAGGAGCCCTGTAGGAAGCACAAAGCAGCCTCACTCTCTTGCATGGCCCCCAAGGGATGGGGAAGTGGGGGGGAGGAAACCCAAGGGTGGCCCTGGGATGTCCCCCCAGCGGGGCCGTTGTCCCCAAGGTCCCCAGCTCACGGTCCTTTTCCCCCGCAGCAGGAGGCCCTGCCCGATGAGACGGAGGTGATCGAGGACCCCACCACAGAGGTAGGTGGCCCTGCTCCTCCTCAACACCCCCTCCTCGTGGCACCCACCGCCCTGGGGAGAGCAACGGGCTCGGACACCTCCCATTGTGGTGCTCTGGGAAGCCCCCGTGGTGGCACCCAGCAGTGCTTCTTGGGTTTCTTCCTCCAAATATCAATTGTTCTCTGGAAGAAGCTCACCCATCAGCTCTTCCAAAGCATCCCCAGGGCTCGGGGGAGCAGCAGCACTTTGGGGCTGCCAGGGCTGAGCTCTGCGCACCCCGGCACACACGCACCGTCCTCTTTTGCAGGAGCCTGTGGGGGCAAACCCCGTCCAGGTGGAGGTGGGGGAGTTCGAGGAACCCACAGAGGATGTAGAGGAGATTGTCGCAGAGAGTGAGTCGCTTTTCCCCTGCCCTGCAGCTTTTCCCTTCTGGCAGGCAGAGACACCATCCCTTCCATGGGTGGGGGACCTTTAGGCACCCCAAACAGTGAGGGGCTCCTTTGGGAAGGGTGCAGGATGAGCACAGTGCCAAACAAGATGCACATTTAAAAGCCAGAGAGGTGCAGGATTTCTTCCAGCACTTGATTCTCCATAGCACAGCAAAGCTATTGCAACGTGTGGCCACAGAAAGGAGCCCAGGAATAGTCCAAGGGCTCATGAGGGCTCCTGGACACCCTCACATCTTCCCCGTGCAGGGAGGGGTGCTCGGGGCAGTCTCTGTCTCTGCCTCCCTCTGTGCTGGG